ATGATAATGATAATGTAACACTATACAGTTCTCAGTAAATACTTAGTAAACAAAATTTGTTGCAAAATGTTGTAATGTGCAAATTTCCCCACTGTGGGATCAATAAAGTTTTATCTTATCTTATCTTATCTTATCTTATCTTATCTTAAAACATGTCAAATTGTGTCCTTTAAAAAAAATTAAACAACAAATTAAATAACCAAATGTATAAGTTGTTTACAAGTTTTAAAGACTGTTATTTTTGCTGAATAATGTTCAGTTTACTTAAAAAAATATGTCTACTTATATGTGATGCAAATTTGATGCATTCTGTCAACATCAGTGCCACTTTTTAAGGTCAAAGACAGGAGAAACTCAGATTTTGTATGAGGAACTTTTATGTTCAGAAAAGGATTGACAGCTTTGTGATGATAAACTGTACAGAGGATTAAAGCCTTACACTGTACAGTTAATAAGACCACGGAGAGTCTGAGTCTGAGCCCTGCACCTGTCTAGACAGTGGAGCCTCTGATCAACCAAAACAACCCTGACACAGAAAAGTTTCCTTAAACCAAAACTGCCCTCTGACTCCATCTATACTGCATGTTTTAATGCCTCCTCGCAGCTCTCACACGTTTGCATTTATCTTTGTTTTTGAACGTTTGACTGTGCCGTAATCTTGATGAAGTTTGTGCTTCGTCGTCTAAAGTCTCATTCGTTTCCCACAGTTTGCGTCTACGTTTATCTCCATCTCCATTTCCTTTAGCAGAAATCTGAGCTGGCAACAAAAACTTGGCATTTTGTAGTTCTTAGGAAAAAGATGGAGATTAACACAAATCTTATCAACGGCGACATTAAAACAGCTGGAAAACTTGCCCGATCACACTGTACCTCCCACACGCCGTTAGGGAGCTGCAATCCACACTCTGGTCTCCCTCGAACAGTTTGACGACTGTAAATTGCTGCCATGTTAGAAATCAGGGCTGAGATCGGCTCGTGTCTGTAATCTGTCCAGTTTAACCTGGATGTGGCCCCCTTGCCGTGACTGTTCAGACCTAGAGGAAAAACAGCCAAGAATAATACAGCCTGAGTGTTTTTATAGTGTTATCTTTTGGCCCTTTTAGAGAGGAAATCTGGGTTTGGTTTAAATGGATCCATACAATCATACATGCGTGTATTTTTACCCTTTGATGAGTATAAGTATGAGACTGGGATCATCATTGCACGATCCATGCTAATGATTCCTGGATATCGTTAGGCCAGAGATGTTGCTTCCGTGGACGGCTTTCTTTGGCCAGGCCTGAATGTGCAGCATGTCCCCCTCTACCCCCCACCCCTCTTCTCCGGATACGGTTGCTCTGGGCTCATCGTTGCTTGAACACAAAGGTCCTCTTCACATCCTTCTCTATCCCGTCCATTGTAGGAGGTCTGCTTTAAGGCCCCATGGCTCCTGTGGCCCCTTCGTGAGGCTAAATACATCTCCTGTCACTGGCTGGTCTCAATACCAGTTCAGCTGCTGGAAGCACTCAGGTGTTCAGATCGTTGCAAAGCAAAGTCCACCCATACCAGAAGAGACGGCAACTTCTTAAACTGCGAAGAGGACTTGGTGTTTTCCAATTAAAAAGATGTGTTATTGATAGGTTGCTAAATAAATCTTAATTTGAAGTGATATGATTTTAACATTAGTTTCTTACAGTATATATTTCACAATGTTTTTCACATTTGCAGCTGCAAATCTGTCCTCAGAGCAGTCCTCTGCTGTTTGGCCACTGGGGAGCAGCAACACGCTGCAGGATTTAAAAAGACAGACGCTCAGCCTGGATTTTTGAACCAATATAACAATAATCAAATGTCAATTTTATCAAAATTGCCCATTTGTCCTTAAGAGTTCACAGTTGAATACTAGTAAGAAATGCAATAAACATGAATATATGCAGACCGAATACAAACTTTCCAGGTTGTTATGGTTTTATGTCCTTGAAAAGTGAGGACAGAAGAAGAAAAGATAAAGCCAAGACCTCATGACAGACACAACAGATAATCCATCCTCTTTGGAAATCAATAGGGCTACAGAAAAAAAATACAGCATTTTTTTGTTTTGTTTTTATAACTGAATTGTCAGTGTGATAGCCTACAACAAGAGTTGCCTTTGTCAGTTCAGTTAAATGTGTTTGGTATCACTTTGAAAAATTATTTTAAAATCAGCTCGTTGGAGTTTAAAAAGTGAAGCGATGAGGTCAGGCTCTGACAGTTTATAAAAATAGATTTATGTGATTACTCCTGCTTCTTCACTTTCTGACACAAAGGTGAATAAATTCTACTCGTCTGAACTCAAGCCTTGTTGGAGCACATAAAGCCCTCCTGCCATCTGCTGGTCAGATTATACAATTACTAAACCAGATTATTGACGCTTTTACGGCTATGTATTTTAATGAAATAATAAAATGTAGCAGTTCTACATCTTTTTGAAGCCTTTCTTGAAATCTTGAAAAAGGCTGGAGCTACTTTTCTCAGTTATTGTTTTATATCTGAATTGGAGGTAAAACATTATAAACTCCTGTTCTACGTGACTTAATGAAATGAATACTCAGTGAACAAAAATGCTCCCTCTATTTTTACTACAGGGATTTAAAAAACTTAACAAAAATTACTTTTAATTGAATTTTAACAGCTAATGATAGAAATTCAACAAAAATTAAAAAACATTTTGGATGACTTACATGAAAATCAATGAAAATAGCTACTTAACCCAAACATCTAAATGGATGCTATATTGATTTTTTTATATAACATTTTATTAATTCCTTCAGACCCAGACTCATGTGACAGAGATTTGGGATCTCACTGTGATTTGCCAGCTTAAGTAAAGGTTAATAAATGATGCAGTGTTTTCCTAATACAGTTATATTATGTGTGGTTCAAAGAGAAGTGAGATGTTTAAACCTTCACCTGACAGTGAGAAGGTTGCAGGTTTGACTCCCGGCTGAGACCTTTCTGCGTGGTGTTAGCAGGGGTTGTCTCTGGGGACTCAGCAAAAACGTGCATTCTAGTTTAAGAGGTGACTGTATGTTGAGTTTAGAGAAAATGTGCATTCTATACAATAACAAGTTTATGACCTTGTTTAGTCTCCACATTTTCATGAAATTTCATATTATTTTTCAGCATTTAACATCATGAAAATACACTGGCTCTTCACAAGTTTAAAAAAGTTTATTATTCAAATTCACAAACAATCTTTAATAATTTAACAATTCTAGCTACAAACATTCTTCTCCGTGGTACAGTATGTATTGATACACACGACAGTAAATAATGAGTCGATGTGCTGCAGAAGCTACAGGTTCTTTGCACAAATATCTCTCAAACAGTCAGTTTCCTGGTTTTTGTTTTGCCTGAACTGGTTTCTTGTGCTGATGCAGCGGGGGGCGAGCTGGGGGGAGAGGATTGCGGCTCTGGTAAGTCTTTTTCTCTGGTAAATAAAACACCTGATCTCTCAACATGAACTGAGGGCTGTGGCCCTTTGACAAGCTCAGGATTTCCTCTGATTTGGCTCGGGGGCCGGTGAGGACGGGAGCGGAGGTTTTGGGGATGATGGTGGTCATGGTCCGGGTCAGGACCTTTCTTCTTCTGAGTGCCAGAGGAGCGGCCGAAGGCTTCTGTTTCTTCTCTGCAGTGGCACCTTCTGCTTGTGTTTTAGGATGTGTCTGCTGCAGACTGTGGCAGTGGCAGTGTTGCATTTTTTGCTCCAAGTCCTTCAGGGCCCGGTCCGTGTAGGTCTGCATGTCTTTACGCACCAGAGAAATCTGAACTTCAAGCTCCTTCTTTAAGTCACTTTTAGTTGCCTCCAGCTTTTCCTCAAAGGTGGAGCGCAGCACCTCCAGCCCCAAATCCAGTTCGTTTTGGCATTTATCTCCCTGCGCCTCTGCTTCTTTTTCGTCCTCTGCATCGTCGTCTTTGCCGTGAGCTTTGCTGTTCTCCTGCGCGAGTTCATTTTCCCTCTCTTTGATTTTCTGCACGAGCTCCAGGAGGCTGCTCCTCGAGGCTTGCGACCTGATCCGAGAGCGCACCTGTTCAAAAACAGACTGTACCTTTGCCTGCACCTCCTTCTCGGTCGTGCCGCTGTCCTCGGTTCTTTCACCACGCAAAGCGACGGAGGACGCCTGCTCCTCTCCTGCAGGCGGGGGGTCCTGTCGTTCACACGCCACCGGTGTTTCAGGAGCTGCTTCACTCATTTTTTTACGTTTCGCCTTGCCAGCTTCGAATGAGCTACTACAATTGCATGACAGATACCGGCACGTGAAGGAGAGACTTGGGTGTTTCTGTCCTCAGAGAAACTGATTACCAGGGGGATTCAGACCTACAATCTCATGTAGAAGATGTCAACATTTAAAAGAACTGTGGTTCAATGATAGCACACCGATTAAATGTTTAAAATAAGAGGGGGGGGGGGGTTGCACTTCTGTTCAGCATCACTGATCCTTACCAAACCTCCCAAATTACTGTGAAATTACCCTAAATTTGCAGTTAGGCAAATCAGATGTAATTATTTAATCCAGCATAGTCTGCGTGTGTGCAGCTGCGTCCAGTGACAACAGAGAGCTGCTTGGTAACAGCATGAAAAACAAAGGTCATCAGGGACGCTGCAGTGAGAACAACTGAGGGCGACGTCAAATTCTCACAAGTGATTAGTTGGGTTTTACTGGAACACAGCGCTGTAGCACACAACAAACAAGTCTGCCTCTTTAAGCAGGGCTAAAGGGAGCATGTCTTGGTGTTGTGTAACATGCGTTTTAGCTTTGAGCTCCACACTTAATTAGAAACTTCACGACAAAACTCTCTAGTATTAGAAACAGAATTCGTGAAGAAGTGCGGCTCGTTTTGATTTGTTTGAAGAAAATTTAAATGTCAGACATTAAGAACAACGTGAAATCCTTTTAGAATTAAAACATCAAAAATACCATACACGTTTTTTTTTTCACAACTACTTTTTGCTGAAAAATACACATTACTTTTTGATTGGCACTTTTTGAGTTATTAAATAAAACAAGAGGAATAAAGGAGTAGGTTATAAAGTAAAGTTTAAACACAAAACATAAACACAACAAATAACAGACACAATATAAACCAAACTGCTTAAATAAAATCAATGGGCCTCATGCAAGAACTGTTCGTACAAACAAAAATAAGAGAAATTTAGGATAAAAATACAAAAATGTTTTTGCATGAGGCCCAATGATTGGTGAGAATTAGAAATACACTTAAAAATATCTGGTCAGCCATAGTCTTATCATTGTGTATATATACATTTTTAATCTAACATTCTTTTGGCGGCATAATTATATTTTTATTATTCATTACATTTATGTTTTATGTTGTTCAAATTATCATGTTAAAACCTGTAAATCAGTGTTTGGATTTTTTTAATCCAAGATAATTTGCAATAATAAATACTAATCAATATTTTGCAGCTCGAGAGCGTTTTAAGATGATGAATGTATGTTGTCTTTTCAGTTTTTCAGGTTCAATGACATGTGTCTTTGTATATATGAGTATTTATGAATATACAGTATCTGATTGCTTTATTGAAATATACTGGTAAGTCAGTGCAGGGACAGCTGGTGAATAGTGTGTCCTTGCAGAATCTGGTTTGTCTTTTGCTTCAGACCCCCAGATTTAATATTTTGCTCAAAGTATTTTTGTGTATTTTTAAATGAATCGTCAGTGTATTTGGTCTGCTTCATGTTCTGAGGCCCATCCAAAGAAATAGAATAAGTAAGCATTTCGTTGAGATTTCAGCATAAAAACATAGATTCATAATTGTGAGGAGTGTAGAAAAAGAGAAGCCTGCAGGAAAATGTTACCATATGAGTCTCGTGCTGCGATGCTGCAGCTATAAAATCAACTGAGAACTGCAACAAACACACCATTTGCACAAATGGGTTAGTAAATTAAATCTCAGTCAGATTCAGTAAACAGGGTTTTTTTCCTGTTTTTTTGTTTGTTTGTTTTGTTTTGTTTAAACCACTCGTGCTTTTATTAAATCCTAATTTAATACATACAGTTAAATGAGTTTTCTGGTCACAGTAACACCGTATGTGGAGGAAGGAATCAATGGAATGGGGGTCATTTTGAAGCATGTGAGGGTTCATTCACTTTAACCCCTGGGAGCCAATGAGAGTCCAGGATGCGTGAGCCTCCTCTTTCCACTAAACACTAACATATGGGGCCTTACATTTTTCTAGAAAATCAAGCTGTAACTCAAACCCTGCACATACAGATAGTCTTTCTTTAGCAGTTAAATTAGTCACTTTTTAAGAATTAACTCCCATTTACACGTTCCATTATAAAGCCAAACGAAATCACAACCATTTAGTTTGTTTTACTGGATAAAAAAACTTGATTAAATTGTTAGGGCATGTGTATGTATTGGTATTTGTTTTCCTCTAAGCATAAATCTGTGCATCGATCTGACAATTAATGAAGACAATGAAGTTTGTTCAAACCTGCAACATCTAAACCTGTTTTTTTTAAGTAATTGTTGTATAACAGAAAACATGCAGGGAGCATCACCACTCTCTCCTCCACCAATACCAGCTCCTCACTGGTGGGAGTTGGCTCGAAGACCAGTTTGCTCAGCTTTTAAATTCAGACGTTCACAGAGGGTCTCATTCTGACAGGCGGGTCAACGACGAGCAACATGGTGAGTTATTGTTCAGGACTGAATATGTCATATTTTTATTTAAGCGGAGATTTGAGACATTTGTATCAGTGTGTTCAAGTGCAGCTGCTCTTTTTTCCTGTTTTAATAACAACCATGTGCTTATTGTTGTCAATTACAGACGACTTACACAGACAAAGGAGAAAAGGTAAATAAACTAGGTGATAACTGCAAGGCTACAAGGTTTTAATCATTTCTATTTTGTTTTTCTGTTATTAGAGTTTGAAGATGAAAAGTATTATTTATTTAAAAAGAAATGCTTCATCATTGATCCACTTTTTCTTCTTGCCTTCAGCATGAGCAGGGCAGGTTCCTCTGCTTCGATCACATAACCTTCTGGGTTGGAAATGCAAAGCAGGTAAGTTGAGTGTTTAAAAGTTTGGGGCTATCTGATACTTTTGGAGACCCCACAAGGTGAAGACATCGTAACACATTTAATATCAAACTACTATATATACTGTATTTCTGAATTACGGCACCTCCAGCTTTAACAGAAACAGGAGCAGATCCTGTAACCAGGAGATGGAGCTAGCACACAGACTGTAATGAATGACTTCACGTGGATTTTATTATCTTCATTGTCTCCAACAGGCTGCATCATATTACTGCAACAAGCTGGGATTCGAGCCCTTGGCTTACCGAGGTTTGGAGACAGGCAGCCGTGAGGTGGTGTCCCACGCAGTCAAACAGGGGAAGGTAAAACCAAAAAACACATGCAGAGCCTGAAGGGATAAAAAGTCATCCCTGAGAAAAGAAAATAAAAGGTCCAGTCAGTCATTATTTTGTGATTTTTCAGTTCAGCAAATAAATCAGACATGGTTTTGTCAGCATTAACTGCTGAGCATTGATTGATAAAATTAGTTTAAACAGCTTTACTTGTAAAAAAAAACATTAAAATGTGAAGTTGTTACCAGCACCAGCTTTCATTAAACATTTAGAGCAGACTAAGCTGTTATGTAGATATGTAATTAAGCTGTAATTGTTCCTGTTTTCTTCTCAGATCATTTATGTGTTTTCATCTGCTCTCAATCCTGACAACAAAGGTACAGTACTGATCCGCAGCAGGACAAGGTTAAAAATAAAGTGCTTTCTGTTCTTTTTAAACAGGATTTCACTACTTGTTAAAAGTCTAATAGTTTTAATTGGGATAATTTATCCAGCAAAGTTTGCCACAACTATTAAATATTTATGTTGTCTTGTTCTATTTTTATTGGCTTTTCTTTAATTAGAAAATGACTCGCGTTAGGATTTACTCAATATGTTCCTTTCCAAAAGAAATCTGTTTGTATTTTAAATTATTCAAATACCTGAGTTTGTGCTTGTGTGCCCACAAAATTAGGTTTAGCAAGAAAGATTGAAAATCTTAGTCCTGAAGTGATTAAATTTTATTTTCTAATCAATCTGCTGACAGATCAGAAGCAGTAAAAAATATAATAATAATAATAATAATAATAATAATAATAATAATAATAATAATAATAATAATAATAATAATAATAATAATAATAATAATAATAATAATAATAATAATAATGATAAAGGCTGAAAAAGGTGTCTGTTTTCAGAGATGGGTGATCATTTGGTGAAGCATGGAGATGGAGTAAAGGACATTGCGTTTACAGTGGAAGACTGTGACTTCCTGGTTCAGGTAATGCTATGAGTTTTATTCTGAAGGAGGGAATTTCCAGCCTTTTTTAACTCAAACTCTCTTCTGAAGCTCGATTAAACCAAGTGAAATTAACTTGAAGAGATGAACCTTTGTGTCAACATACAGAAAGCCCGGGAGCGAGGGGCTGTTATCATGAAGGAGCCTCACACTCTGGAGGACAAGTGGGGGAAAGTCAGAGTAGCTGTGCTTCAAACGGTACCAAACAACACCAACTGAGCGTCCTCTAAAGTTGAACCCAACATTCCATTCAATGATTCATAGCTATAAAATATACTATCTACAAACCAGTGGTTTTGCTTGTTGCAGTATGGCGACACCACACACACATTTGTGGAGAGGACGGGCTACACCGGGCTGTTCCTACCTGGTTTTCACACCACTCTGTTCAAGGACCCTTTTCTGGCCAAGCTGTGAGTGGACATGTTATTTTAAAATCCCACACATACTCCTGAATAATGATGCTAAAAATAATGCTTTTGTTTTATGCGGTGCAGACCTGCAGGAAAGCTGGACTTCATCGATCACGTTGTGGGGAACCAACCGGATGATGAGATGGTTCCAGTTGTAGAATGGTAACAAACACTCATATCTAGTCCCTGTCCAGTTTCTGATACAGACCCTGCTGTTGAAGTCTTTAAGCCGAATGTGATCTGGCAGAGTCTAAAGAGTACTGGACTCTTACATAACTGTCTTTTTGGCATGAGGCAGGGATCTGGATGACTTTGCAGTTTAAGGAGGAGCTTCAGTGGTTCTTCACATCTGGAAGCCGTTTGCCCTCATTACACTACAAAAGACATAAAATGTGGAATTAGGCAGCTCTCGAAAACAGCGAGCCCATTGGGTAATCTAGGAAAAAAGGGGGTGTAAAAAGGGCTAGAGTTTAAAAAGAGTAGACTTTCCTGTTTTACAACCCAGTTTTTATTACAGATAGGAGGAAATATTTCCGACACTTGTAACAAACAAAAAACAAGCATCTGAAACCTTTTAACGCAACGCCCCCAGCACAAGCAGCTTTGAAACTATTCTAGCTTTTCATAGCTTTCTGAGATGTTTTATGGTCTACAGAAGCCGAACCAAGCCTGAGGTTTGAGTTCACACACCTGATCTCTGGTTGGTTTACCAGGTACCGCAAGAACCTTCTCTTCCATCGCTTCTGGTCCGTGGACGACAAACAGCTGCAGACTGACTTCAGTGCCCTGCGCTCCATCGTCGTGGCAAACCATGAGGAGACGGTGAAGATGCCCATCAATGAGCCTGCAATGGGAAAGAGGAAGTCCCAGATTCAGGCATGTGCTGTGAAGTCTGACACAGACAAGACAAAAACATAAAACAATTTTTGTTTGTTTTTTAACTAAAACCAGTTTCGTTAACTTCCAGGAATATGTGGAGTACTACGGAGGAGCAGGGGTGCAGCATATTGCCATGAACACATCAGATATAATAACAGCTGTAAGACGATAAAACATGATGATTCCCCAGGTTTTTATCGACAACCTCGTGAAAAGTTTGACTGCATCTGCTGTTTGCAGATCCGTAACCTGAAGGAGCGCGGCATGGAGTTCATGTCTGTGCCGGACACCTACTACGACCAGCTGAGGGAGAAGCTGAAACACGCAAAGATCCAAATATCTGAGGACCTGGATGTCCTGCAGGTCAGACAGAAAGTTGCATCTGAACAGAACTGAACATCTTCTGGTGGTTTAGACAGATATTATTAAACATAATTATCTTGTGACCTTACAGGAGCTGAAGATCTTGGTGGACTACGATGACAAGGGCTATTTACTGCAGATCTTCACCAAGCCGGTCCAGGATCGCCCCACTGTGTTCTTAGAGGTCATCCAGAGACACAATCACCAGGTGAGGGTGAACTATCACTGCAAACACACTCAAACAAACAATCAGAATGAACTGCATCTCACTGTTTAACATTTTCCTTACAGGGTTTTGGTGCAGGAAACTTCAAGTCTCTTTTTGAAGCTATTGAAGCGGATCAGAACGCTAGAGGAAATCTGACAGTTCTCACACCAAACGGAGATTTAAAACAAATGTGAACCTAACCGCAAATAAAGTCTGCTCAAGTTCTCACACATGCTACACCAGTACTTTAAACTAGTTACACAGTAAGAAAATATCAGTAAATGTAATTATCTTTGTTTTTTCCTTGAACTTTTATTTCTTTTAGTGTCACTTTACAGTTTTATGAATTCACAGAGAAATTGTCACAAGTTAAAAGGCGTGGTTATAAAATATTAACAGGGAAAACATTCCAAGCTTGACTCAAGCAAAACCCATTTAAAGCTCTCGTAAATGAAAACATATCTGCAATCAGGACAAAGAAGTCAAAAGACCTTTTCATGTAGAGACATTCTGCAAAAAGTCTGAAGGTCCATTACTTTTCCTTTTGCTGAAATAAATACTTTGAATGTGCCAACTTGTCCTTTATTTCACTGCTGTATGAGCATTTTGACATGTTTGATAGGATATTTGACAAAGCTTTACAAGATTAAATCCCTGTCTATAGACAAATTCAAAATTCAAAATTAAAAGTCCCATTTGTGTTGTAAGCACAGTTTAAAACAGTTTATAAAGTCAGGATTCACTGTGCAGCACCAACACTAGACTGTAAAGATTTAGACTGTAAAAAATAATAACTGGACTGGAAGTTCATCTCAGACATCCATACAGTCAAGCCGCTTCATTCTAGTTTAGTTCAGGGATCCTCGGCAGCTATCTGCTCCACACAAACAAGGAATCTTTGTTTCCTCAATGGGAAACTTGTAGTCGTATGTGATTTCCTCGTTGACACTTATTGGCTGACGAGAGTAGATCACTATCTTCTTCTGAGACTCCACAGTGATGATCTTTGCGTAACAGTTGGGCTGTAAGATAAAAAGACATGAGTGCAAACCGTTTAGTTTACAATGTGATTTCTCATATGTTCAGAGTTGATTATTACTAAGGACGGGTATCAGTAAGACTCATTGATATTGTTCATTGATTTGGTATTTTGACTGCACTCTTACCAATGCTTGTCTGTGGGAATAAAACCAAAAACAAAGTATGAATAAGCACTGCTTTTATCTTAGAACAATTTAAAACACACGGTATATCAAATTAACTTCTTATAGATTTGCAACTCCAAAGTAAAAATAAAGTTGTAAAAAAATAAATAAATACTCACTTAACACTCTCTGTTGGATGTGAGACAAACAGAGATTTAATTTATGTGGCTCTAGTAGTAGGCACTTGGATAAATGCGCTGCCTGACCCAGGCAGTGTGTGGCTCAGGTTTTTGTGATTTTTTTCCCACTTGTTTTAATGCTTATCCCAGCCTTATCATTTCAAAATCTATCTTAATGTTTTACATAGTTTGTTTTCTGCTTTGGTTTGAAAAATTGTTACGAAACTGTGACGCGCACTATGTTTATGGAGCTCCGTAATTTTTTTTATGATATAATGAAAGTTAATGGAGCACTTGCTTACTAATTTTCAGCCTTAAATCCTTAATGGGTGATCCAATTAAAAAAAACTAAACAGTTTTGGAATCTGTACATAAAGCCTTACGAGTACAAAAAGGAAAAACAGCTCTAAAATAAGTTCAAAAATTTGATAAAAGTCCCTGCTAGCAGAGAAAAAAAGTTTTCTGATTGGTGACTGGTTTTGGTACTCATCCCTAATTATCACCACAGCATCACCGGTTTTTACTCACGTTGCAGCTATGGTTGATAAATCTGGCTAAATTCCCCCATTTAGTGGCATCGATGATGGTATCCTGATCAACACGAAATAAATAGCTGCTTCCAATGCCCTCCTCCTCGTATTTCTGCTCCCTCAAGTCTGCAACGACCTGAGGAAAAAAACAAACAAACATGCTTGTACAAGACAAGCGATGCTGACGACACTCAAGCCTCTGGAAACTACCTAGAACTACACAACAGAAACATGGAAACACCCAAGTGTGGTCGGTTTCTGGAGCTTGTGTTGGTTTTTACCTGTCTGATGATTTGCCCCACGTACTCAATCACCATCTCATCCGCTGCGATAGGCTCCATGGCAAACAAGCCCCACTCATGGATGAAACTTCGGGTGAAACGGATCCTCTTCTTTCGAAACTGACATATAGAAAGATGAAGAGATTCACGCCACAATTAGACTTGTTGCATTTGAAAACAGAGACTTCAGTGAATTTTTACAAATGTTTTAATTAGACTGCACTTTAAACTGCTGTGTTATAATTACCACTTTTTTCTTGTATAATGAAAAAGGTTTAAAAACACAAAGTAACAAATTCCTTTGCTCCATCTAGAGAAAAAAGATTGTATGATGTGGTATGGCTCAGCGTTTTTTTTTAAAGTTCTCTGATGTCTGTCACATAATTTAAAACAAACATTATACTGTAAATATCTCATGTATACTACCTGGCCAAAAAAATAGTTGCCACCAAAAAAAATAAGGTCACTAATATTTCGTTGGACCGCATTTAGCTTTGATCACAGCACACATTCTCTGCAGCAATGTTTCGATAAAATTCTGCAACGTCACCAGATTTATTTCCACCAGTGTTGCATTAATTTTTCACCAAGATCTTGCATTGATGATGGTAGAGTCTGACCGCTGTGCAAAGCCTCCTCCAGCACATCCCAGAGATTCTCAATGGACTCTGTGGAGCCAATCCATGTGTGAAAATGATGTCTCATGCTCCCTGAACCACTCTTTCACAATAAGAGCCCCATGAATCCAGTGTATTCAGGTAGTCAGCTGACCTCATTCTTTGAGCACAAACTGTTGCTGAACCTGGACCTGACCAACTGCAGCAACCACACATCATAGACCTAGGCCTGCCACGATAGTCAATAAATCAATTAATTGCACGATAATTTTTTTTGAGGTTGGTAAAAAAATGAGGTAGATAAGTTTCATTTTCCTGCTTGTTTGTTTACTTCGTCTCTCTCCCTCACTGTGCTCCGCTGCACAGGAGCTCAGCTGACTCCTCCCCTCCTGTTTTCTTAGTGTCGGGAGGAGTGAACTCTCGCTTTAGCATGAGAGCTCGTAGCAATAACAAACTAAAGAAACGTTTCAAAGCAGAACGCGGCTGCTGCAGTGTCGGAGCAACTGCAGAGCCTGAATTTCACTGCAGGGGGAGAGGGAGAGAGAGAGGAGGAGGAGGGGTGGGGGCTGAAACTCCCCCAGACCCGCGAGAGAGAGAGAGAGAGAGAGAGAGAGATAGGAGGAGGAGGGGTGGGGGCTGAAACTCCCCCAGACCCGCGACAAACTCGTCAAGACTTTACCTGTGGCTCCCAAAAATAACAGGAAACTTAAACGCACCATCTGTGTTTTAACAAAACACCCAAAAAAACCTGTATCTGTCCCAACAACTCATGAGGAAACCTCTGAACTGTCTGATTTCCTCCCCCGCAGCGCTCTGACTGTCCCCTCCTCTCACACACACACACAGACACGTTTGTTCGGACTTTGCATTGACTTTCATTCATTTACCAGTATTTCCTATTACCATTTAACCCTAAACCTAGCCTAAACTTTACATAGGATGTGAACTGGGCTTATGTCCCCATAAGAAACAGTGGGTCCTCACCAGGCTGTGTAGTTTGCTTCATCTCTAAAGAGATGCTGCTCTTTAATATTGTTTATTTACTGTCTTAGTTGTGTGTGGTGTTTAATTTACATTTTGTTGTTCTTTGTTCGTTTGTTTTTTCAAGTGCATTTTTGTTGGAGACTGAGAGTCCACTTTGTTAAACATTCTTTAAAAATTAAAGTTTATAGATTTATTACACTTACATCTTACGCTTTTATAATTATTAGTTGTAAAACGGTCACCAGGCAATATTATCGCTTATGGCAATAAATTTTGAGACAATTAATCGCCCAGCAAAATTTGTTATTGTGACAGGCCTACATGGACCTTAATTAAACCCAGGCGGCCCCTGTTTTTTGGCCAGGCAGTGTATCTCATACAGGTTAAATTAGTGTGTGGTAGACTAACAGACTTGGAGCAGTTGTGTGTTTTCTGCCTCTGCAGCATCACATGCTGCAAGGATCAAAAGAACAGTATGATGAGATTTGAAACTGTATGTGTACGATGAGAAAGTTCTGCCTGCGTTCAGTAAATAACACAGTTCATGAAGCTAAACTAGTGTTTAAAGCTTATTGACTATTTTCACAATGCATGTTAAATATTTTGAAATTAATAGTCTAATTCAACTTGACGGTCGGCAGTTTTACATTTTATACATATTTTGGAAATGCAGTTGACTAAATTCTTATGCTCTTATTCCTATTTATTTATTTTCAGTTGCTTTGTGTGATGAACATAAGTGAGTTACTTAAACCAAGTTATAGTAACACCAAGCTTACCTTAAGCTGGTTGAACTTGACCAGGTCACTGTCGCAGCTGAAAGAGGACAGTAGGCGGCGCTGTTCAGACCTGAAATCAGATCCAGCTCGCAGTGATGTGGGTTGCTGGACTGAAAGAGACTTTCCCTGTAGGAGAATAAGTTGACACTTAATTAAAAATAACTATGATGCATAACTATGATGAATAAATAAACCCAAACACTGAGGTCATTGCATTTTCTGATCTTCTGATAAATACCTGAGCACTTGTAGACTGAAAATCAGCAGCCAGTTTTGTGTTGTTGAGGTATTTCATTTTATCCTTCCTGCTGATTTTGTAGAAGCCTTCAGTGCGAGCAGACTCGGTTCTGTGGACTGGGAGCCAGGACGTCAGTTCTTCACTCCTCTGTGTTGGGATCTTGGTCAGTGAGCAGCAGTTGAGGAAGTGAAGCACAGAGCTGTGGACTGATGAAATTAACAGAACTTCTTTATACTGTATGTATATAAATCCTAGTGAAGACCATAAACTGTTTGATATACCCAAGCCTTTGCACTATTATCATCATCATCATCACCTTATTTAACCAGGAAAAACATCGTGAAATCACATTTACAAAACACAAAACTGGGCTGTAAAGGATATGAGGATGAGGTATCCAGTGCGTGTCACTGAGCCACCCCCCACCATCGTCCTGCTCCTGCAGCCTTTCATAAGTCAGCAGCAGCAGCCTGGCATCTTCTTCATCCAGGCCCTCCTTCCAAACACCATGAAGAATTTTCTTCTCCTCACAGACAGAACGCCACCTGTGAAGATGACGTTTACAGGAAAGAGAGCTACACTCCTGAAGCCATCGCCGCCGATGACGGGCCCTGCTTCTCCTCTTCAGCCGCCTCCAAAGTTTTTGCCTCAGTAAGGAGTTCTCTTCATCCAAAAGGTCAGGCATGTTCTCAAGTCCCTGCAAGGGCTTCGTTCTCACACCTGAACTCATGTTCGCGCCACTACCATCGGCAGAATCAGAATCAGAATCAGAAAGGCTGAACGGAGACGATCCTGCGATGGGAGAAACTCTGAGAGAGTTGTTGCGTGGCAAAGATTTTGTGGCGCTCATTGTTTTTGTTTTCCTCGTGTCTCTTTGGGGGAAGAAAACGTCTCTTCCAGGAGTCTTCGGGGGCGTGATGTACAGACTGCTTGACGGAGGTAGAACACGTGGCGGGCTAATGAAAGGCAAACACGTTGCGCATCCTTCTGAATTCACTATCTCTTGCTCACTTCTTTCCTCCCTTCCAGGAGTTTTGGGCCGCTCCTCAAATGGCGGGTACGAGGCTGGCAGAAAATCAGAGGAAGCTACAAGAACCTCACTGCATGCCGAGAAGAGGGAAAAGACTTCGCTGGATTCGTCTGAGTCTGCACTCGCCAGCTCAGCCACGATCCCCTTGCCTGGTGTTGGTGGTCGCTCGAGAGGTGGAGACGTTGGTTTGATTTTGATTTGATGCTCAGGATCACCGTCCTCAAAGCAGCCTGTAGGAGTGAGAGGCCTCAAGTTGTTCTCTGGAGGCTCTGCCGTCCAATCAGGCTCTCTAAGTTCCACATCAAGGTCTGGCTCCACTGCCACACAGAATAACAAGAAATGACTTAACATACGTACGTGACATATTTATATTTTTATAAAGCCTTTTGGAAAGACTACAAAACTAAACTCTCTGGTTTCATGAATTTAACTTACATCAAGCATTATCTACAGCTGTAAAAATATCTAGTAAAAAAAATTGTTGAAAGCTTTTTGTCAAAAATAAACATTTTGACTTATATTTTTAAAAATATCACATTCCTTGATGAAATTTATTTCAGGGTTATTATAGTTTACTAAAACTAACTAGATAACAAAAACTGTGATTGAAAAATCATTTTAGTTAACTAAAATAAATAAAAACTGTAATAAAATGAAAAAACGATACTAACTAAAACTATAATTTTTTTACACTAAAACTAACTGAAATTATAGATAGAATATCCTTAGTTTTAGTGTTTGTTAATTTATTTTGAGCCATGTTGATCTTTTTATTTTTTCAAATTGAGTAGTTTCACATTAGCTTTGGGCCGTAACAACACTTGTTTACAGTCTGCTGCTCAGCATCGTCTGCCAAATGATGACAACCAAAGTTAGGAGAAAGCAGCAATGTTCACTTTGTGATTTCTTTGAATATGACTGCGAGAAAAATAAAAGCAAGTGTCTTGTAGTGGAAACAGGTGATAAAACAGGTGGAATACTTCTCAAGGAAAAAACTGCATGAATCAAACTCACACAAGATGGCTAACTATGACTATCTTGACACACTAGCTTCTCTCAGTAGCTCCCATGAAAAACAAGCAACAAGTAGCACCGGGTTGGAGACAACTATTGTCATTGTCCTAAAATAATCGTCCAAGTCCTTAGTTGGCAAAATTGAGTTACACAATTATTTTAGGAAGACTGCTTAAATATTGACCAAATAGCTGTTGTTTAGTTAACTCACAGAAACATTACAGGCTGGAGGATGCATGGGCAAATAAACTAGAAAAAAACTAATAAGGCAACTAATAAAAACTAAACTAAACTAAAAATAAGCATTAAAAATGCAATAATAACTAATAAAAACTAGCAAATCTACTGTAAAAACTAATTAAAACTGACTGAATTAAAAGAAAAGCGTTACAACAAAATAAAACTAAACTACAATGAAAAATCCAAAACTATTATAACCTTGATTTATTTTACCCAAACCATACCAAGTTTATACAAAGATTGTTATGAAAACTGATATGTGATGAGGATGATGCTCCGCCACTCCAACACCAAATTTTAGCTCACTGTCTGCAAAAATGACTGAGTTAAAGCCAATTTTGTGCTCGCTAAGTTTGAAACCAAAAGTTATCACTTGTATGTTTACTGTTTATGATTATTTTCAATCAAAATAAAATTTGGTCCAGAAAAACAGCAAACAAATCACCTGTGAGTTCGACATCCGAGAAGGACTGTCTGTTCCAGGTTTCACTGGGTTGCAGCTCCGTCACAGAGTCCCTTGTGTCTCGCAGACAGGACGGGTGGTCTGTCTCTGTCTGCTCCCTCTCACACACGTCTAACCAGTGGGTCAGCTCTAACTCCAGCTGAGCACCAGGGGTCAGAGGAGCTGAGGGGCTTGGTGGTACCGACTCTTCGTCTGAGGATATCACAATACACTCTACGCTCCGGTTATCCTCGTTATCCTCCATGTCTTCATACTCGGTGCTGATGTCAGAGGACAGGTCCTCAGAGCTCTCTGAAGAGAACAACTCTGAAGAGTCCGATGAGAACTCACTTCCTTCTGAGGCGAAGCTCTCTGACAAACTCTCTGTCGTTGACAAGAGAAACAAAGGCATTTATTTAAAAAATGTTTAATAATTTATGTAAAAAAATGTATTTTAACATACCATTATCTAAACACTGTTCTTCAGTTTGACGGACGACAGCATCATCTTCCATCTCTTCTAGTGCTGTGTTTTCTTCATCTCGCTGATTAACGTCTTCATCGTCATGATTATCTCTGTCAGACTAATTAGAGCAACAATTCCATTTTTTAGTCTATAATAGTTTACAATTCTTTATAGTTGTTATTTTATGTTTATTCGTTTTAATTTAAAAACAAACAAACTCACATACAAAAAATACATATCAAATAAAAAATGAAAGGTAGCAGAAAGAAGAAAAAATCTTATTATATCTGCCCCTATTTATATATACTATAATAATAGTTTCAAACAATAACAAAACAAAAACTTCAGCTCCTAAACAGCAGCTCTTATAAATACAAATTATAGAATTTCATATTTCTTTAACAAATATTTTTTTATCATTCTTTTAAACAAATTAATTGAGCCAGCATTTTTACAATCACTATCCAGAGTATAATAATAGTTTCAAACAATAACAAAACAAAAACTTCAGCTCCTAAACAGCAGCTCTTATAAATACAAATTATAGAATTTCATATTTTTTTAACAAAAATGTTTTTATCATTCTTTTAAACAAATTAATTGAGCCAGCATTTTTACAGTCACTATCCAGAGTATTGTATATTTGTATTCCTTGGACTGAAGTACATCTGTCCTTTAAATTTATTCGAATTTTAGGTTTTACAAACATTTCTACGATAATCCCTTCAGACTGTAACAACTTTCCCTTTTAACAAAATTAGATTAGATGTTCAAAGGTAATACATTTTAATGAGCCTTATACATAAGCTGCAAAATATTATAATCAACCAACTCGTAAAATTTCAATAATTTCAACTGATAAAATAATGTATTTGATGGGTGACAGTAATGTTTTCTAGTGATAATTCTTATAGCTCTCTTCTGCAAAATAAAAATAGGATTTGTAATTGTTTTACATGCTTTACCCCAGACTTCAATACAGTATAACAAGTGTGGAACAATTATTGTATTATATAATGTAAACAGTGCTTTATCATTAAATTACTCCTTTACTTTGTACAATACTGCAATAGATTTGGCTATTTTTGTTCTTAAATAATTTATGTACTTAAAATAATTTATCTGAGATTTCCATGTCAGTTTTTCATCAATGATGACACCCAAAAACTTCACCTCACTGACTCAACAGATTTCAACACCATCAACTTTAAACTAAATATTGATAGTTTTATTTTTATTACTGAATATCATATAATTAATTTTGTCCAAATTTAATGATAATTTATKAAGTTTAAACCAAGATTGTACTTTTACAAATTCTGTTTGTATCATTTCCAACAGACGTTCTATGTCTTTACCAAAACAAAAAAATGTGGTGTCATCTGCAAATAAAACACATTTCAACAACCCTGACTCATTTACCAAGTCATTCACATTTAAAAGAAATAACTTTGGTCCAAGTACAGAACCCTGTGGAATTCCATATGTAATGTTGCATAGTTCAGATCTTATTTCATTTATTTGTACAAACTGTTTCCTGTCTTTAGATAACTAGATAGCCACTGTAATGCTGGTCCTCTAATGCCATATTTATTTAACTTTTCAAGAAGAATACTGTGATCAATGGTGTCGAATGCTTTCCTTAGATTCTAGTTTCTAATATTAACAAAACTTTTTTTTTTCAGAATTTACCATGATCTGAGGATCATCAACTGGAACAGAAAGTTCTGCTTGATTTGACGTGAAATCGTGATTTTGAAGTGTATCGTTGTCTCCTTTCCCTTCATCATCACTGTCAAGCTCTAGTGGTCTCGCATGCCTGCGCTTGGCTCTTTCAGATGTCGCCATCTCGTCCCCCTGCTGTACATTTTGGCCTGCTTTGAAGGAGAGGGACATATTAGTGTGAGATAAAGTCAGAACTGGACACTCGTTAAGTTTTAAAAACAAATAAAAAGCTCTTACCAGGGCGTTCATTTTCATTTTCTATCTCTTCTGATCGTTTCCTTTTTACCTGCATGACAAATGTTTATAGTTTCAGTGTTTTTTGCATTTAATTTAAACATAATTCCGTATTAAAATGCTTGTGTATGTCACAGAATATTTTACTCTGAAGGATGGAAGTGGAGGCCTTTTTCCCGGTCCGCTGACGTGACTGAGGGGATTCATGAGTTTCGGTCTCTCTTCCACACTTGGGGCTAAACTTTTTAAAGGAGACGCCTGGACCTTGAAACAATAAAGCAACAATTAATAGCTGAAAAGTGTATTGTCATCAAAATAGTGTGTTTTGCCTGTGTGTGTGAGATGAACTAACTTTCGTTTTCTTCTCTTGACTGTCCCACCAGTCCTCAAACGCCTTGAAAGCAACGCCTTCGATTATTTTCCGCGTAATATCCTTCTTGAGGACCGATTTCAGCTCGTCCATGAGCACGTCCAGAACTTTTTCTGCCGTGATTTTATGTGGATTTTCTTTCGCAGGGGTCTGGTAGTCTGGCGGCGGGACAAAAGGGTTAAATATGGGGAAAGGTGGAGCGAGCCAGGGCGGTCGAGGGAATGGGAACGGTGCACTCCCGTGTCTCGGAGGATTGTCCTTATTTAAGGGGGCTTGGGGTCGCATGGGCACAGGAAACACGGGGAGGGGAGGGGGAACAGATAAAGGTGGAGGAGGCACCAGAAAAGGCGGCGGAGGCAGAATGGATGGAGGCGGTGGAATAGGTGGAGGGGGGATGGGGATGCCTGGAGGGGGTATCCAACCTGGTGGTGGGATGGGGATTGAGCCGTTAGGTAGGCGAGGTGGGACAGGAGGGATAGATGGAGGGAAGGGAGGAATGGGGAAAGGGGGTACTGGAGGACGTGAGCTCCCAGCTGGAAGCAAAGGAGCAGGTTTAGGGTCCATATGCAGGGGGGGAACAGTGAACGGAGAAACGGATGGGAGCGAGGAGGTGTCTCTCACTTCAGACTGCCTCATAATTAAGTGATCTAGATTTTCATCCGCCTGAGTAACAAAAGAATCAGTTACATAAACATTTTCACATGGAAACAAACTGATAATTACTTAAATATAATATATCTACGACATCAATAAATCCAGAGGAATTACCTTTGAACACGATAACAGCAGAGACCTTTCTGCCGATTCTTCCTGTTCAACATAAACCACATCCTCACAGGTATCGACCTCAGGTGGAGACGGGGACAGGGAGTTTGCAGTGAGAAACAAAACCGCTCGATTGGTTTCATCTTCCTCCTCTTCAGCGAGCGAGGATGAACCGACGTGGACAGCATCGCCGCAGGAGCGCCGGCGGACGCGCGTGAAGGGTTCAGAAGGCGACAGCAAACATGAGAGAGATTCATCTGGGGATGGAATATTAGGAGGGCTGCGAGGTGAGTTCGGGCTGTCTTGGAAGCATTCGTCGACTCTGAAGTAGGAGTCGCCAGGAATCCGACGGCTTATCAGCAAACTTTCGATGCGAGAGTCCAAACTCTCTTTCTCTGGCTGGTGGTCGTCGTCTGGGGACGAGGCTGAACACCTGTCGGCTGGGAAATCGATGCTCAAGATGCTGAGAGAGTCGCCGCTCTGTGTTAAAGTTGTGGACGCGAAGTTAGGTGTGTGTCCAGACTCGTGAAAGGGGGAGGCAGGGTCACATGAGGCGTCGTTGTCGGTGGAGGGTTGAGAATTGTGATTCCACAACAAAAGCCGGCGGCTGCTGTTTTGTTTCGGTGTCGATGGGCGCGGCTCAGAACGCTTCAAAATAAAGCTGACGTTTGAAACCTGGTGAGATCCCCTGGGATGTCCTGCGGGTTTACGGCGGCAGAGGGCCTGTCCTAAATGTTTGTGAACACTGTAGGTAGAGGGCTCCCCCTGCAGGACAGGGGTCGCCTGAAGACTGGAGTAACAGGAGTCCTGAGAGAGAGGAGTCGCAGAAAAGCAGGGAGTGCGGGGGGTTCCCTGAGACTGCGGTGTTAAGCCAAAGCTGCAAGGAGTGTCCTGCCATAAGCTGGAGTAGGCTGTGTCTAAAGAGAGGGGGGTAGCAATGCTGGCAGGGCTGCAAACACTCAACAACTGCTGCGTGGCTGCACTGCCCTGCAGGAGAAGAAGAAAAGAGAAAAAAAAAATTGTGAATATTAGGGAAACATCTTGACTTGTTCCAAAAAACGATCAAATTTTCACAAGCAGCTTGAGAGTTACCAGCAAACGGTCGACTAAGCTCTGCAAAGCTCGCTCACTGCATCCCACCGGTAACGTCCAGGGAGTGTACAGGCCACTGAAGAGCAGCTGCAGGTATCGTGCTCTGTTTGCACCTGAGGAGGGCGTATAAATAAGTCAGCCAACTCTACAACATCCACACTTAGACTTTGCCACATTCAGAACCCATACCTACCTTTAGGATCAACTTCCACATGAATGATGTTCCCCATCACAGACGTGCGGTGGAGGCACTGCGCAGCCTCTCTCGCCCCCCTCACTGTGTCGAAGACTACCTTTGCGATTCCCAGGTGCTTCTTGTTCTTGGGGTTGTAAAATATCTCCACGTCTTCGACGTTCCCATATTTGCTGCACATGTTAGTGAGAAACGTCTCCTTTACGTTGTCATTCAGCCTGGAAAATGTCACTTCTTTGGGAGGAACGGGGCCGACGTACCATTCATCAACCTGTAAACAACCAGAGGAACTTTTACTTTTGTTTCTCGTCACCATAATTGATTATATGTTTAATAAAGCTTATATGTATGTTTTGGCACACTGTATTGTATCTAATTTGTTATAATCTTTAAAAAAAATGTTGTATACATGTTTTTTTAACTTTTGAACTTTTTTTTATTATGTCTTTGTATGCATAAGTACTATGCACTTGCTGTAACATTAATTGCCCTTTTGGGACCTGAATAAATCTGAACCTGAATCTACCTTAAATTTAGGAAGCAAAAGATCAGCCTTGTTGTGTTTGCTCCACAGGCGGCAGATGCGTGGATCTCTGACTGTGTCCACAGGAAACAGACCTAAGTCCTCAACCTGCAAAATAAAAGCCCTCATTAGAATTTAAAACACACTATATGTTGATGTTTGGCCTTACATGATATAAGGAGTTTATTAAGATGAAGCAATTATAAAATATATTCAAAGTACTCACGGGAATGTTAAAAAATTGCCCATCAAAGCGGCACACTTTGTACAGTCCTTTTGTCAACGCGGGGTCAATCAGCAACTTACAACTGTTCCACTGCTGAGGCTCTTTCTCTGTGTTTTGTTCGTCGCTTTCCATCACATTCGTCAAAACCTGGAATAAAACGTCAAAAAAAATAACCATATGGAGCCATTTTGTGGCAGGTAGCGATAAGCTAGCTAGTTAAGAGTCCACTGGAGGTTAACACGCCCCAACAGGTGATGGAGAGCATCACCTGTATCCTTATCTACACGATAACAGGCGGTATAAAACACTAACCTGCCTGACTATTCAAAGTTAGTTTAACGAACTGCTTCTTATCTTACCGGTGAAGCTGAAGTTTCGTCCTCTGAGCCGCCAACATTGTTGCAAAGGTGTGGAGATTTTTTTATGTTTTTTTTTTTTCTTCGTCACGCAGGTCGGGATAATGTATTCATCCGCAAGGAGACTGAGAGGAAATATAGATCCTTCCACTTTGCGGAAGGATCTTTTCATCCACAGCTTAAATTTTATTAGTGGCTTCTTATTTAAAAAGTAAAGTAAAGTAAAGTAAAGTAAAGTAAAGTAAAGTAAAGTAAAGTAAAGTAAAGTAAAGTAAAGTAATTTTAGTAAGTTTAGTTAACCAAAAGTTGCAATAACACACTGAATCTATGAAAAAAAAGGGTTGCTGTGTGGTTTATTTGACATAGCTAATTCTTTTTTTTTTTAATTCCAAATGATTTGAATGTAAATATTTTTCTACAGTAATTGATTCTACAGATCTTTAAACCTAATCCAGACATTTGTGGTCAGAAAAAGGAAATATCAACAAAAGTTGCAGCTTAGTATTTCTTGAGGTAATACACAGTAAATGTGTTGTTTTCCATTTGGGATAAAATGTGTTGGTATTTGCAGATCTAATGAAGATATATAAAGATGAAGATGGCGTCTGACTGAAACACCAGATGATAAAAAAAACATTTAAAATTATATTATTCTTTAACGACACGGCATAACAAAAGCACAGTTAAAGGCCTCTTATTCATCCCTTTATTATCAGAATGTAAACACTTTTTACTGTTGATCTCAATTTTCTCACTAACGTATTTTAAATGATTAAGTAGCACAAAAAACACAGATCTTGACTTGTGGTGCTTCCCCTGCCACAGCAGCATGGTGATGATCTGCTTTGATATTCTGACAGTATCATCATAAGCATCTGGTTGTATAAGTCAAACTATTATCATGTTTTAAATAATCCTAATCTGTAGCAATGCTAGTAGCATTTCTATAACGGAGGCCTGTCTGTTGTCAGATGCAAAATCCTGATTTAGTTTCATCCAAGCCAAATATTTGAGTCACATCTTAGTTACATTTGCAACAACTGGGGACAAAAGTGTCGCCTCACACACATCAGAGTGAGAAACCAGCATGACAACTTTCTGTGTGGTTTTCCTTTTCAGAACCAAAAATAAGAAACATGAAGATTGTGGCGTTTCCTTGCATACCAGCACAACATGAAATGAAAAGCAATTTGTCTGACTTTATGACTGACGCAGAAGCAAAACTTACAATAAATACGTTTAATGTAAAGCTCACAAAATGCTGTGCTTTGACACATAGTGACAAACAACCAACTTAATAAATATACAATAAAAATAAAGAAATGTAACACATCTTCACTTGAATTGCTGACTGAAAATGTACAAGGGTCTTGGGTTTAACCTTTCTGATTCAAACACTTGTGACTAAAACAGTCTGTACGGTCATTTTCTTGTTTTACAAATATTAAAGTCTGATTGAGTCCATCTGAATCGCAAAACTGTCAATAAGAAAGCTGCTTTATCCATGACTCAGCATGAACACCTTGCATTAAGCGGGTGGCACGGACAAAACGGACACTGTCGCCATGTGACCGCAGTTTTACTTTGATGTAAACAGAGTAATGGTACCCAGGTGACTGTGACAAAAAAAAGGATTAAAGCTTAAAGAAAATTAAAATAAAAAATCTAAACCTAACCAACGTTTAACCATGCTCAACACAAAAAAAAAACTCTCACACTCTTTATTTTCTTGCTTTATGGTAGTTGTTCAACAACCCATGGCGTCACAGCTAGCAACCTTTTAACAATTTACTTTTTACGAGTTTCAAAATCAAGATGATTTTGAGTAAATTATCAACACCATTAAAAAGCAAACATACAGTATGAGCACAGATCCAGCCTCACATTGCTGCCAAAATGACCCATTTAGATTACAAAACATATTTATTAAAGTGTCTGTGGCACGCATTTCCTACAAATACACAAAGCGGAAAAAAGCACCTTAATATCTAATAAATGTAGCATAATACATGATTTTACACATTTTGTCACATAAATGGCATGTTTTCTTTTTTAACTTAACGCGGCCAAAGTGAAACAGGAAGTGACAACGTCGAGGAATTATTTAAAAAGGGGAACTTCCTGGGTTTTGTACGAACTCTCTTCATCTCCCTGTTGGTGAATCGAAATAATCTAAAGAAACATTAGATTCTTCACTGCTGCCTGTGCTGTTAGTTATTGTAACAATGCTCTGTTTACGTATTCAACTCCTACTAATACACACGTAAACATCTCTACAACTGGTCATCTCAGTTGAATGACGTTTTTTTAATTATTATTATTTCAATCCGTTATAGAGATGTGATGTTCATGAAGACGTTACGAATCTTTGAACAGATCTTTACAGAGAACGATAAAAACAAAGCTGCAAACAGAAAAGTCATTCCTATTTTTTTACTCCTTGTAATACCTTTATTTTTTTAATCGTTCCTCCTTTGTTTTTTCACAAACAAAAAACAAAACAAAAAGGCAGAGGGGTGGAGTATAGCAGCTAAGGGGGGAAAGAGGAGGGGGTGTTCTGCTTGACAAAACACACGACGGAGTTACGTTGGGAGCTACATCCTCACGTACTGTGTGGGCCTATGTGATGATGTTTAAAATCGAATGGCTCTAATAAACAGATTTACGAAACACACGGCTCATCAAGATCTTTAAAGAGTCATTCTCCTACCTCTATGTTATCATTGTCATATTTCCAATATGATGTATTTTTCATGAAAAGCTCATGTCACAGGCACTTTGATGTACTTTGGTTTGGTGAAATTCACTCTCCAACGTTTAATATTTCTGTGTTCTCTTGCTGCACAGAATCTGATGGTTAACATTATGCACCGTTTCTTCAGAAACTTTGAATGGTGTTGCTCAAACACCAATTCCCTTTCAACAAACAGATCTTTGGTGATTTTTACAGTAAACTTAAAGAAAAATGCTCCTAAAATATTGTTAGTCAACCTGTAACAAATCACAGCATTAAGATCTCATAAACCAGCAAAAAAAAAAAAAAAAAATTAAAATAACTTTGTTCCATAGGTCTCAAACAATGAGTCATCTTGAAAGATGTGTTCATTTATAAAGTCAGTAAATATGATGACTAATACAGCTAATGCACATTTAAGAAATCCCTGTAAAAAAGTAAATGCAGCGGTTTTGGCACACAGTATACAGTTCATATAACTCCATTTAAAACTGTTTCAGTAGAGCTGTAAACTAGAAAATAAAAACATCTACAGTTTGAAGGACTGAATCTGTTTTTTCACAACTTGTGGTACCTTATTTTAAACAAATGAAAGCAATATAAATATGCTTCTTATCACACTCTTAACCTGATGTGAGCTACATTTGGTTCTTACAGTATAAATGTGCCCTCATAAAGCAAAGCAAAAGGGCACTTTACCACAGTATTCAAACCCTTGAGATTTTACTCCTGGGTTATGTAATCTGGCTGTATGATGAAGTTATACAGCCATTTTTCAAGATGAAAAAGGCTCACCAAAAAATAAAAGCTTAAGCAAACTGTGTAAACATGCAAAATCTAAAAAAAAAAAAAGCCTGAGCCAAAACATGCAATGCTCAGCAGATGATACAGTGTCAACAGAAACCCATCTGAGCTCTTCTGTTGGACATAAATATAAAGCTTTTATGAGTGGTTTCAGAGTGAAATGGCTGCTGAAGGTCCCTGCCGCTCTCTTCTCCATCAGGGGAAGTGAACAGCTGCCTTCAGGTTGTCATTCTCAGACCGGTTATCCAGCTGTTCCTGCAGCTTGATCACCTGGTCCAGCTCTCGGATCTGCCGGTCCGTTTTGTGGCTGACGAGCGTGCGGTAAAAGTGGACGGCGAAGACGATGAAAACGAGTCCGAACGGCACCATGATGCAGGTGGACGCGATGGCCGCCGCCTCGCCGGAGCTTATGGTGCCGTTTTGCGCCTCCTTGGTGAGCGGCAGGAACTTCACCCAGCACAGGAGCATGACCTCGGTGAGGAAGAGGAGGGTGCCGATGACCGTGGAGAAGGCCCAGGCCAGCTCGATGTAGCGGTGCATGCGCTCGTGAGGAGACTCGTTGACCGAGTTGAGGTTGTGGACGTTGCTGACCGCCTCCAGGTTGGGGAGGATGCAGGTGCTGATCATGAGGGCGAAGAGGTGCACCGCAACCAGGATGGTGGTGCAGGCGCTGAAGGCTATCAGCAGTCCAGGAGGGTAGTCGTGTCCCGGCTCCAGCTGGACCTCCACCATGGCAACCTGTGAAAAATATAAAATATATCAAACAGACCTGTTGATGGCTTTATTAATATCATTTTTTAGAAAATCACACAAGTAGAAAAAAGTACACTTTTTTATTTTTAATGCTATTGTCTTAAAATGATGAGTTACTTATTCCAATGTTTGCAGAAAAGAAAGTTTTTTCCCTAAATAATTTATCTCCAGAACTCTAAAAAGAAGCAGGTTCATTAAATTAAAATGTATATTTTATATAGGAGACGTTATTAAAGCATAAATTAAAATACAAAGTTTATTTGCAAGAAATGTAGAAATGTAATCTCTTCCACAAGCAAAGATGAAGCAAAGATTGACCAACTTCCTTCTTATTAGTAAATCTGATTTGTTTGTTTTTTTGTCATATAGACCTTTAATTTTACCATAACACTGAGTAATATTAATATTAGCTAAAGTATTTTTTTCTTTTGATAACAAGTTGTTCAAAACAACACAATAATGAAAAATACATTTAGTTCATAGACAAAGTGTCTTGAATGTAGCTCAATACTTGACTATTATTTTGACAAACAGATTCCACAACATCACTGATAGCTAAAAGTATAATTTTTGTACATTTTTTTAAAACAGTTACTAATGTAGCACAATGTCGTGCAAAAGACCCTGGACATTCGTTCCCCCATGTTACTTATTTGTGTTTCTCTGGACCAGGGGTGGGCAATCATGGTCCTTGAGGTCCGTAGTCCTACATGTTTTACATGTTTCCCTGCTCCAACACGCCTGATTCAGTCACTGAACTGCCTCTTTGAAGTTCTGCAGTATGGAGGACTGAAACTGACATAATTAAAAATAAAAACAGAAATAGATAAATAAACATTTAAATAAATAAATACATTTGAAATGCACCAAATAAATTAAAAAGGAGAACTTTACCTCATGTTTTATTATTTAAGTGACCTTTAATTTATTTTTCCAGCTTAGTTCCAATAAATTATATATTTTAACATATAATTTAAACTTTAATGTTTTTCATATATATTTTACATAATTTTTCTATTTACTTGTACATGCATTTGTATCT